ATGACAAGTTCTCTTGTGATTTTGAGTTTATTAATAATTGCGTCGAACTTTTAGCGAAGGATATGATAAGATCAATGAAGAGGTGATCAATGTTAAGTTAAGATATGTAAATTCATAAAAATCTTCAAGGTATTAGTCATTTTGATAGATAACGAGATTGAGTTACATTGTTCGATTTACAATTCAAACATTTCATTTCGTATCTACTTTTGTGGTGGTATGTTTTATAAAGGTATGAATTGGTGAGGTAAAATAGAAGTAAATAATATATTGTTTACATTAGATATTAAACATATGGATGAACTTATGCATGTTTGAGTAGCAAAGTTAATAGACCTAAGGAAGGGTTTCACTTAAAAGTGTTGGGTTAAAATATAAGGTAAAATGTCATGGGTTGTTGGTACAAGGATGAGATTGATAAGCGAACTAGAGAAATTAGCAAGAGTCTGATATGTTGAATGATCGAGATATTTAAAATTTTGCACCATGAGAACCCTTATATAAATCCTTGGGGCGTAGTTGAAAGTTGTATTGATTTTGCATATGAGTTTAGATATGACTGTGAGATGTGAACTAGCTCGGTACAGACATACTAGGAGTTAATCATTGAATTTTATAAAGATGGAGCTTTGATTTGGGTGACAAACAGTGAAGTATGAAAATTTTAGTGTTGATGCGGAGTTAGATTGCTTAAATTATGATAGATGACTTAAGAATTATGTGCGATGTGAGGAATAATTCTACATGCTTATTAAGAATTCAGAGTTGGGTTAATTCTACTATATTGATGGGACTACATAGAATGCTAAGATGTGTTTCCTAGACATATAATAGTGAATAAACATTATGAGCTTATACTATACAAAATAATTTGAGTGACCTAAAATTTCCCTAATTGCTGGCATGAAGTATGAAATGGTTTAGAATGACAGCTAAATCATGATATGTGAAAGTGGTGTTGCCGTTGACTTTGGGTGTGATTCAATAGTTATATCTCAATTAAAATGTTCTATCAAATTTAAAATTAGTGTGATTATCGTTGTTTGGAAACTTATATTTTTCATGAACTGCATAAATAGAAAGAGATGTAACCAGAGTTTGAACATGTATTTGATAAGAATACTCTTATACTAATGGTGATTGTGAGTAAGGTAGATGGACGGTGTAGTTATGATGTTTGTTAGTTTTAAGAGTGTTAGCTTCAATAGAGAAATGTGAAAAGTGTGTAGGCTTTTGATAAATTGAATATGTGTATGATTGTAATAAGGACCGAACTTGTTGATTGTTAGTGGCTAAAAATCAAGGAGATAGAGTCAAATGAATAAAATGTTAATATGGGCATTGTGGAAGGAGTATTTTTATGCGATCACTTACTTGATTCTTTAGAATATGACTCACTTTCTACATCTGTGTGTATGTTTTTGCTTCTATGGTTGAGTCCTTAGTAGTGGATCAGGTGTATTGATTCTGTGATTATCCTCCTAGTAGGGGGACAGCTTTGGTTAGACTTGTTTTTCAGTTATGGAAGATTTGGTGTTGTTTGGGATAATTGAGATACACTAGTGATTTTACCCGCACAACTTCGCTTATGAAAATTTATAAGATAGTTATCGTAGGAATTTACAGTTGTTCGATAGACTTAAGAGTTATCTCATCATCGGTATCATGTTTTGGCTATGTGTGATTGAATGAGGACTATTCCATTGGGTCTAGTTTTGTCATTCTTAAGGTTTGTCTATAATAACTACTCATCTAGCATTTCAACAGTGTTATTAGAGGTTTTTTTATGTTTGGGTGTATCATACAATGGTGGGTACTTATCATTTTCATCTTTAGATCAGATGAGTTCGATTCTCCTTGATGAATACTTGATGTATAAGGATCATTTTTTATAACTTAAGCTCGGGGAAAGCTTATGTTTTGAGAATGAAATAATGATAAGAGATATGATGGTTTGTGCATTATGAGTGTTGGTGGTTGGTTTAGGTTCACTTCTGATTGGAATCAGTATTATTTCAATATTTTATCGTAGTTATGTGAAAAAGTTTTCATCTAATGATTGTGTCAAGGTCCTTGAGAATATGTTGCATATCTGTGTACGATTAGTTTTGATGGCTATGGAGAATACACTTTGTTGTTAGTTGAGTTTACATACTACAACTACCACTTGAGTAGTGATATGACCCTTTTTGAGATATAGTATTAGATGAGATGTAGCTCTATCATTGTTGTGCATTTGAGGTAAGACCTTGGGAGCCTGAGCATCCGGCCGACTGTTTACCAAAAACACAAGTCTTCGCAAACTCATAAGACCATGCATGAGGGCTGACGCCTGCCCAGTGCCGGAAGGTCAAGGAAGTTGGTGACCTGATGACAGGAGAGACAGCAACCGAAGCCCCGATGAATGGTTGCAGTAACTATAACGGTCCTAAGAAAGCAAAATTTCTTATCGGGTAAGTTTTGACCCGCACGAAAGGCGTAAATATCTGGGCACTTTTTCAGAGAGAGGCTTGATGGAATAGACATGCCTGTGAAGATGCGGACTACTTTCCGCCTCCCTGGGGGTGAAAAGTTCCCTTCCTTTTTCTAAAATGCCTGAGGGGTCTTCTCAGCAAACATACAAAGTGGACCGCAGTTTGGCTGACCTTCTTCTTCCCATTCGGGTTGGGTTGACCCAGAAGTACAGTAAGAAGGAACGAAACCACTAAAGAGATATGCACAAAAGATAATCACATTTTTGTTGATCATTCTACTTTCTTACCCTCACCTTTTAGTGATCATTCGAGGACGAACGATGCGTAAATTGATAACTAATGTAACGATTCATTTGATCATTTTGAGTTCTAGTAGTTTTTATTTCATAAAATACTTTTGGATAGATTCTAAATGGATAGCCTAGACTATTCGTAATTACAATTATAAATTAATGAGATAGTTTTTACAATTTATTTAGTTGGTGGTTAAGAAAAATAACATTAAGATTAATAGTAGGTCACTTTTACTATTTTTATAATTGGTATTTAAATAATTAGGGTTTACTAATAATTGAGTGATTAATAAAAGAAAAGGGGGCTCGAAGGTGAGGAACAAACAACAATGGAGAATGGCTTATTAAGGTAATCATTTTGATTTTGAAGAAAATGGAATTTATTCTCGATATTTGAACCAATTGTTATTAAAAGTTGGAATGATTGATGTGATTGGTTGGTAGCTAAATATATCACTACATATATGAATCAAATTTGTCAAAATTTTAGTTTCTATATAATAACATATTATTAAATGTGAGTTGGAAAACAATGTGTTTTGAATTGCTATATTTTAATTATCAACTAATTTGGGTTATGTTAATAGTACTCTGGGTGGAAGCAAAATGGTTTTTCTTGATTAAATTGTGCAGTTTTAATAACTCCGATGATGTGTCATAATGTGCGGACTTGAGGGACAATAGTTTTCTTGGGGATAATGAATTAATGATAATTAGAGGGCTGATGACTAGTGGTCGTATGATTAACGTGACTTTTGATTTACAGGTTTTATGTGATATTATCATATGATGATTAAAGTTTCGATATAATAAAATAGAATATTAAATATTATTATGCGTATTGAATTATCTAAATTCCATTAAAATTGTGCTAATTTGAGGAATTAAAACTTAGCCTTAAGTTTGAACTTCAGGAAATTGATTAAAGAATTTGGTGAATTTTTTGGTCTAGGCTAGACATAATATGATATGAGTGTTAATACATCTGTTAACTTACAAATTATGCATATATGTTTGATAGATTGTAAAGGTTCGGAAACATCAAGGAAAAGGAAAATATTTGGAGAAATAACTTTCTTAACTTCAGTTCTTCGGTGGAGGTAGGTTATTGTTTATTCTATTTAATAGTAAACTCTTAATAGTGATTGATATGCATTGAATGATATTGTAAAGTTTTCTATGTACTTGGTTGTATGATTATGTGGCTTGGTTGTGTGTTTTGTGATTGGTCCGAAATCCTAAGACCGTGAAATTTATATTATCGAACCCTCTTTATCGAAGTGATGCCTTGAATAAAGAAGGCTTGATGAAATATTATCAATGAATTGAAAGTGGTGATAATAAATGAGAACTTAATAGCATAATTGGATCAAAGTATCACGTTCTGACACGGTATACTTAGATCGGGGTGTCACGTTCTAATAAGGTATTTTTGGATCGGAGTGTCACGTACTGACACAGTATAATTGGATTAGAGTGTCACGTTCTGACACGATATTATTAAAGGAAAAACATATTGAATTAACGGAATGTACTCAATCTCAAAGTACTCAATTTTCCAAATGGTTTGGTTGGAGGCATGAGTCCTCATGGATGATTTTGATATTGTTGACTTATTACATACTTACTTTAGTGTTTTTGACACTAGTTCATGTTGTTTGTGGATTATCACCTGTTAAGTGCTATAGTTGAGTTCATACTATTATTTATTGTATATTAGTTTCTATTTTGGGTTGGTTGATGATACCTACTCAGTACATGTTACCCCGTACTGAGGCTTACTTGTGTTTTTCTTTGTTTTCATTTATTGAGTGCAGTGGGTGTACCAATGACTTCGAATTTTCCTTTGCTCTAGTCAGTCTCTAGCATATCATGTTTCAGGGTGAGTTATTCATTCAAGCTCATGTTGAATTCTTTCGGTCATGACATGATGTCCTATGTTTTCGGTCACATACTATGTTATTCTTTTATTTTGATGTATTTGATATTCTTAGACTTAGTGTAGGGTTATCAGATGTCATTGATGTGATGACTTTCATGTTTTGAAAAATGATACTTTAATAAGTTTTGAAGCTTCCGCATTATTTTTTTATTCTTAGTTGAATTATTGACATATATTGGAGTTTGGATTCCTTGGTTCACCCACTTAGGAGGTTAAGTGTGAGTGCCACTCACTACTTGTTTTGGGTTGTGACACCATTTCTCTTACTTCCTTCATTCATTAATAAAAATAAAGAAATTGATTCATCTTCCTTCTATCCTGCACTATCTCACCGGATGTTATCTTCATTCTCCTCTCAGTAGGTAATTTTCTTCATCATCCTCTTAATTAATATTTTTAGATGAATGATGAGTGTATATAATGTTGTACAGATTTCTCTATCTAAAATTATACAATTTTAGTCTTAATGATTCTCAAATCTAATCCGTTCTACTTCTAATATTGAGGAATTTATGTTCAAATTGCGAGCTATTTGTATTTTTGAGGTTTTAAAGCAATTTTCTTTATTATTGAACTTTTATCGTCTATAATGGTCATTTGTTTTTAGTCCATTTCCTATTGAATTTGAATATGCATATACTAATTTTTTTGTTATACTTATTCATGTTTCGATTTAGGTAGTGAGATGCATTTTTATGAATGATTTTAAATCCAAACTCAAAGATAATTGACCATTTTAGGTACTTTCTCTTCATTTTCTTTTCATATTAAAGAGTTGGTGGGTGCAAAATATTTCTCTGTCAATTCTAAAAAAATTTGTTCTGTATTATCTTTCTTTGACTTTTGATGGCATATAAGTTGTTATAATTGAAGAGAAACGAAGATTATTATTGTACATTTGCATAGTAAAAGATACCTACTTTTCTAATAGAACTTTTTGTGTTTTAGTGATTGATTGAAAAAACATTGCCATATTTGATGAGAGAAGAGAAAAAGTTAACAAAGAAGTATGGATGCAATGCTCTGAATGTCTGTCCACAGTAAGTAATACATTAATATTTTCAATCTTTTTATGTTATTGAGTTGTATATATATGTTTATCTGCATTATATATATTTCTCGTCTTTGAACTGCAGTTGAACTTTATGTCGTCTGTATTGTTACTTAAATTAAATGTCAGAATTATTAAAGGACTAATTTTCAATTGATTAAAATGAAACAAAAAAAAAGTGTCTTCCAAACAGTAGCTAAGAGAACACATTTTCTTTTTCAGTTAAATTTTTAATTTACTATTACTTAGAGAAGTAATTTTTATAATTTTTTCTCTTCCCTTAACTGAAAGTCCATTACAACAACCTAAGTTTTCCTTGGCGGTCATGATTGTCATATGTTCTTTACTTTTATAAATGACATACCATTGTGAAATGAAAATATTGATAGATTACTATTTGAAAGTGAATATAACTAGACAAGTTATTTTTCAAACTTTAGTCTTTAGACTAATCAAACATCTCTGATTTGTTTCTTTATACTGATATATTTACAACTAATTTGTAGCTTTGATTTAATTTTTATGTTTTGGTCAAACAATTACAATGATAATGTAATAGGTTCGCTAATCATATGTTAATCAAGTTAGGTCAAAATCACAACATAAGAAATTTAGGAAGTCCTACAATCTCCAAAAGTGATGTCGTTATATGTTTGTCTATTCAGCTCCTCTCGAATCATATTGACTTCTGTATATTCTAATGATATCTTATTTTATTAATTATGCCCAAATCAGAGAGTGATCTTCAAATTTCAATAATGATCACACCAGTTTGTTGAAGGAGACACGCTATGAGTAATTTGAACAAATCACGTATGCATACAAATCCAGCTAATAGCAGTGAGTATTTTTTTCTTCTCTTTTCTTTTTTGGATGAGAACATATTAGTAGTAGTACTTCAACAAGCTCATCTTCTCCCCCATTCATTGTGCCAGGATTTCTTTTCTTCTTAAATCTTTAAAACTAAAAAATTATTTATTGATGGATCATTGTTTGTTTGTGTCTGGTGTTGTGTTTTAATTCTTAAGGGTAACGAGAAAGTTATAGTTAGGTTTCACCATATTATCCTATAATCGTTATTTGAGGAGGCAAAGCATAAAGTAATAAATTAGTGTTGATTAAATTGATAAACAGGGATAAAAAAACTACTCTTAATGTTTTAAGTTTTGTATATTTTTTGTTCTCTCTACCAACATGTCACTTATGGTTCTGATGTATTCCATTGACCTATTATGTAACACCCCGTAGCCAAAACAGACCAAAAATTATTTTTTCAGAAAAATCTGCAGGTGCTACCAATGGTGGCATCGATCGACCATAGCCTGATTTACGATCCATCCTGCACAACCGTCGATGGGATCAAAAACTCCCAAAAAATTCAGCCTAGAAAAATTGGTTAAATCTTGGAAGACGGGCGAACTTACGGTCCGTAGGTCAAACGACGGTTTGTAGTCCGTGACCGTCGATCAACACTCCCTTCAACCACTCTCTGACAAGAGCTATGGATGATCAACATGGTTCGAAGGTGGACCTACAGTCCGTAGGTCTGACCGTAGGTGGAAAATTTGCAGCCAGTTAAGGGGAAATGCAGTTGGGTAAACTTAAAACGATCATAACTCTTAGCACAAAATGATATAGATCTCCCATTACCTACCCACAGATAGATAATTGAATTATCTTTGCATATCCACCAACCTTGCTAAAATCAGACCTCCGAGTAAAAAGTAATGTCCATTTTAGTAAACGCCTGTCGAAGAGGACCTCACGATGGACCCAACAACGGCGCGTTGGGCGCACAGCGGACCATCAGTTCTGGCCGTCGTGAAGCCCAACATCAATCTTCCCAAGGGTCTTTTTGACCTTTCCCACTCTGTTTAAAACCTAAGTTACGTTTTTTTGACCCTAAATCATCATATTTTAGTCAGTTTAAGCCTAGAAACATAATTAAAACATATCCAAGTCAAATCCTAAATCAAAACATAGAAAATCAGAAGCAAGAGAGGAGAAAAAAGCTCAAGAACCCTAGTTCAAGAACGCCACAACCTCCAGCAGTTTTAGCCCCGAAACTTAAGTATTTTTCCGTGGATTTCATCGTCAGGTATGTGGGATTTCACTAGTGGGTTCCTTTCACCCATTCGATTATTAGTTTCAGTCAGTTCTTGATTCTCTTATCATGATTAAACCTAGGGTTTTTAGAACTTTCTTAGAACTTCAGGAATTTATTAGTTATATGTTCCAAATCAGATTATCATGTTATTATTCAGTTTATTTCATGAGTTTCAGAACCCTAGCTTTGTATTTCTTTAGTTCTTGAATTACAGATGCTAGGTCAAAATTCCAGACACTTCAGATATACATGCCTCAGTTATAAATGCATAATTACTAGATTAATTGTTTCATTCTCAGTTTGCATGTTCGTTTCAAGCTATCCAGTAGTTATAGAAACTCAGACATAATCAGTTAATTTACAAAATTCATGGGAGTAGCATAATACCTAGTTGGACTAGGGTTTAGCGTACCCAATAGTCCCAGAACTACTAGCAAAGTAGGTTGTAAGTCCCCTCTGTGGGCAATCAGTTTAGTGATCACGCCAGCATGCCTTATACCTTTGGGAGGGTATATTGGCTCCACTCGATGGGGCGTATACATTGGACTCCATATTTAGCTCATGTGGTTTTATTATCGGTTATTAGTAGCTCCCACAGTTCAGTCAGACTCTCTGTATTGACCATTTATCAGTATATTCAGTATTCAGTTTCAGCATGTTATAAATTGGTCATTGCATCCAGTTAGCTCAGAAATCAGCACATCACGTTCAGATTATTATACTTGTTTTTGTGTTTGTTCAGTTATGTTTTATTTCAGATTTACTCTATCCTACATGCTCAGTATCTTTCAAGTACTGACGCATACGTGCGGTACATCTTCTCGTGATGTAGGTTCAGGTTCTCAGCATCCAGATCACGCATAGATCGATTTCTCAATCTCCAGTTCAGCATATTCAGTTGTAACTCCTCATTCTCCGAGGACAACAGTCATGAGTTTCATTTCAGTCTTTAGTCATTTAGTTTCAGTTTTTGCTAGATTTAGTTGGGGCTTGTCCCAGTATTTTAGTCTAGTTTAGAGGCTATTCTCAGACATAGTTAGATTCATCTTAGTATTGAGTTAATATTTCTTTTGTATTAAACTCATTATTTTATAATATCTCAGTTATAGAATATGGGTATTCCCCATTTTTTCATTCTAAGTATGATTTAGCTTTCGCAACTGTTTATTATCTTTAGTATGCTCATGATCATGCCAGCAGGGTTAGCTTGGGATCACTTGTGGTCCTACGTTCCGTGTTCGCGTCTCAGGGGTAGCTCAGGGCGTGACAAAACTTGGTATCAGATCACTAGGTTCAAAAGTCATAAGATGTTTGATAAAGCCGCACTAAGTAGAGTCCTTTTCATGGGTGTGAAGTGCACCACATCTAATGTTAGGGAGTCTATAAAGTGATTTAGGAAAAACTTCACTTTTTTGTTACTCTTATCGTGCGTAAGGTATGATCTTATTCAATTCTTACTTGACGTTCTACGTTTCAGATCATGCCTTCTCTTAGAGCTTAGGCATGGACTTCTAATACACGCATTGCTAACGTAGTTCATCTAGTACCAGATAAGGAAGTTCAAATGCAATTTTTTAGAGAGCTAATTCATCTTTTGGCTCAGAGTATGAACAACCAGAACAATCAGCAGGTTCTAGTTCCTACTAATAGAATTGATCGATCAATGGCAGCCAGAGTTTGTCATTTTGTTAGGATGAATCCGTCTAAGTTTTTAGGGTCGCATGTTGGTAAGTACCCACAGAAGTTCATTGATGAAGTCAAGAAAATATTTGGTGTGATGTCAGTAACTGGTCGTGATAGGTGAGATTGTCATCCTAAAAACTCAAGGATGTGACTCACATATGGTTCACTCAGTGGAAATACAACAGAGATGACTTTGCCTTTTGTAACTCAGTATAGCAGTCATATTCAAAGTCATTCCAGAAAATCTCTCAGAATCTTTCTTAGTCTCTACTCCAGTTGGTGACCCAGTTATAGCTTCACGGGTATACAGAAATTGTGTCATAGTCTCTCAGAAAGTCACCTCAGCAGATCTAGTAGAGTTAGAAATGGTAGACTTTGATATCATTCTAGGCATGGATTGGTTACACTCATGTTATGCCTCAGTCAATTGTAGAACTAGGATTGTTCGTTTTTCAGTTTCCAGACGAACCAATCTTAGAATGGAAGGGTACTAGCCTAGCGCATATGGATCGATTTATTTCTTACCTTAAGGCCATAAAGATGATATCTAAGGGTTATCTCTATCATCTAGTTCGGGTTAAGAATTCTAGCCTTGAAAACCCATATCTTGAATCAGTTCTAGTAGTCTGTTAATTTTCAAAAGATCTTCCCGGGGTTCCTCCCGAAAGGGAAATCGACTGTGGAATTGATCTCCTTCCAGATACCCAGCCTATTTTTATTCCTACTTACAGAATGGATCCAGTAGAGCTTAAGGAATTGAAGAAATTGAAAGACCTTCTAGATAAGGGTTTTATCAGACCTAGTATTTCACCATGGGGTGCACCAGTATTGTTCGTAAAGAAGAAAGATGGTTCTAAGAATGTGCATTGACTATAGACAGTTGAACAAGGTCACAATCAAGAATAAGTATCCCATCCCCAGGATTGATGACTTGTTTGACCAACTTCAGGGTGCTAGTCATTTCTCAAAGATAGACCTCAAATCGGGTTATTATCAGCTCAGAGTCAGAGATAGTGACATTCCAAAAATAACCTTCAGAACTCGGTATGGTCATTATAAATTTGTAGTTATGTCGTTTGGACTAACCAATGATCCTGTAGCTTTTATGGATTTGATGAACAGAGTGTTCAAATAGTACTTAGACTTGTTCGTTATCTTCATTGATGATATCCTCATTTACGCTAGGAGTGAGGAAGAACATGCAAGTCATTTGAGAGTTGTTCTGCAGATACTCAAAGATCGCCAGATATTCGCTAAGTTTAGTAAATGTGAGTTTTGGTTGCAATCCGTTGCTTTCCTTGGTCACATTGTATCTAGCGAAGGGATCCGCTTAGATTCACAAAAGATAGAAGTAGTGAAACAATGGCCCATACCTACCTCTGCTACAGATATCAGAAGTTTCTTAGGTCTAGCAGATTATTACAGAAGGTTCGTGGAAGGATTTTCATCCATAGCCTCATCATTGACTAGGTTGACTCAGAAGATGGTCAAGTTCCAATGGTCAGATGATTGTGAGAAAAGCTTCACAGAATTGAAAACTAGATTGACTACAGCTCCTGTCTTGACTCTACCAGAGGGTTAAGATGGTGATGTGATCTATTGCGATGCATCCATAGTTAGCCTTGGTTGTGTGTTGATGCAAAGAGATAAGGTTATATCTTATGCCTCTAGAAAGCTTACGGTGCATGAGAAGAACTATCCAACTCATGACCTCGAGCTTGCAGCAATGGTGTTTGCACTCAAGATATGGAGACACTACTTGTATGATGTTCATGTATATATGTTCACCGATCATAAGAGCCTCCAGTATGTGTTCACCCAGAAAGATTTGAATCTTCGCATGAGAAGATGACTTGAGTTCCTTAAGGATTATGATATGATTTTGCATTATCATCGTAGAAAGGAGAATGTAGTGGCCGATGCTCTTAGTAGATTATCTATGGGTAGTGTATCCCATGTTGAGGAAAAAATAAAGGAACTAGTGAATGATGTTCACAGGCTTGCTCGCTTGGGAGTTCGCCTTATGAACATATAAGACAGCGGTGTAACAGTTCAGAATGGGGCAGAATCGTCTTTGGTAGTGGAGGTTAAGGAAAAGCAAGAGCGTGATCCGATCTTTCTTGAACTAAAGGGTGCAGTCAACAATCAGAGAGTGGAGGTTTTCTCCCAAGGGGGAGATGGTTTACTTCGCTACCAAGGTAGATTGTGTGTTCCTGATGTGGGAGAGTTGAGGCAGCATATTCTTGCAGAAGATCATAACTCCAAGTATTCTATTCATCCAGGTGCCACTAAGATGTACCGCGATCTGCGGGAAGTCTATTGGTGGAATGGCATGAAGAGGGATATAGCAGACTTTGTGAGTAAGTTCCAGCAAGTCAAGGTAGAACATCAGAAACCAGGAGGTATGACTCAAGAGATCGATATTCCTACTTGGAAGTGGGATGTGATCAATATGGATTTCATCACAGGGTTACCTCGTACTGGCAGACAGCATGACTCAATTTGGGTGATAGTTTATAGGATGACTAAGTCTTCTCGCTTTTTGGCGGTCAAGACTACATATTCGGTAGAGGACTATGCCAAGATTTACCTTACTGAAATCGTAAGGTTGCATGGGGTTCCTTTGTCTATCATCTCAAATAAAGGTCCTCAGTTTACCTCTCATTTTTGGAAGTCATTTCAAAAAGGTCTTGGTACTCAAATTAACCTTAGTACAACATTTCATCCATAGACGGATGGGCAGGCAGAGCGTACCATCAGACCTTAGAGGATATGTTGAGAGCTTGTGTGATTGATTTAAAAGGTAGTTGGGATGATCACCTTCCTCTTATTGAGTTTGCCTATAATAATAGCTACCATTCCAGCATTCAGATGGCCCCTTATGAGGCTTTATATTGGCGTAGATGTAGATCTCATGTTGGTTAGTTTAAAGTAGGTGAAGTAGCTTTGATAGCGCCGGATTCATTCCTTTATGCTATGTACAAGGTGCAACTCATTAGAGATAGAGTAAAGACATCCCAAAGTCGTCAGAAATTTTATGGAGATGTAAGGAGAAGGGAACTAGAGTTCCAAGTTGACGATTGGGTTTTTCTGAAATTTTATGGAGATGTAGGTGAAGTAGCTTTGATAGCGCCAGATTCATTTCGCTTGAGTTTTACAATCATTCATACGTAAATTCAGTTTTAGAATCATGTTCCCTCAGTTTGTAATTTTATTTTTAGCATAATTGCATGTACTCTGAACTCAATTCAGTCAGAACTCAGTTCTTAGTGTTTAGTAGTAGGGTTTGCATCTCTCTCTCTCTATTTCAGCTAGTTTAGTCTTTATTCGAGGACGAATCTTCTTAATGGGGAGATAATGCAACACCCCGTATCCAAAACAGACCACAAATTAGTTTTTCAGAAAAATATGCAGGTGCTACCAATAGTGGCATCGACGGACCGTAGCCATCCATCCTGCACAACCGTCGATGGGATCAGAAAATCCCAAAAATTTCAACCTAGAAAAACTGATCAAGTCTTGGAAGATGGACGGACTTAGGGTCCGTAGGTCAAACGACGGTCCGTAGTCCGTGACCGTCGATCAAGACTCCCTTCAACCACTCTCTGACAAGAGCTATGGATGACCAGCATGGTTCGTAGGTGGACCTACGGTCCGTAGGTCTGACCGTAGGTGGAAAATTTGCTGCCAGTTAAGGGGAAATGCAATTTGGTAAACGTAAAATGATCATAACTCTTAGCACAAAATGAATTAGATCTCCTATAACTTACCCACAGATACATAATTGAATTATCTTTCCATATCCACCGACCTTGCTAAAATCAGACCTCCGAGTAAAAAGTTATGCCCATTTTAGTAAAGGCCGGTGGAATAGGCCCTCACGACGGACCCAACTACGGGCGTCAGGTGCACGACGGACCGTCGGTTCTGGCCGTCGTGAAGCCCGACAACAACCTTCCCAGGGGTCTTTTTGACCTTTCCCACTCCCTTTAAACCCTCAGTTACGTCGTTTTTACCCTAAATCATCATAGTTTAGTCAGTTTAAGCCTATAAACATAATTAACACATATCCAAGTCAAATCATTAAATCAAAACTTAGAAAATTAGAAGCAAGAGAGGAGAAAAAAGTTCAAGAACCCTAGTTCAAGAACGCCACAAGCTCCAGCAGTTCCAGCCCCAAAAATTAATTATTTTTCCGTGGATTTT